ATTTCAAGACCGGACCTTTTTCATTAGTTTAAGAATTCGATGAACTGGGTCCGTATTTCATATCAGTGGCCTAGTTTATGTATTTTTTTTTTAATTAAATTTTTATTAAAATTCACTACGATACAACCGTACAAAGCCAAACGAACTTTTCTTATTTGTCACGTGAAAACTATGGCGCCACTTGATCAAGCTAGATTTTTTTAGACTGCGTGCGCATATGACAAGAAAAAAGGGAGCTGATATTTAAAAAAAAAATAAAAACTACTCTGTAAGAAACTACTTAATTATAATTTTTTTTTTTTAATCAATTACACAATTAATTTTTTTCTTAAAAAATGAATGAGCGTTATGAGGCGTACACTTTTGGATTTTCCAAACTTTTTTTTTATTTGGTCATATACAGCTTGATATGGTTCTATATTTTCTGATATAGAAACCATATAGTCATGTAAGACGATATATAAAAATAAAAAAATTGGAATCGGTTTACTCTGCAGTTAATTTCTGAAACTTCCCCCTATCTTTATGGTCAAAATCGTTAAATTTCGAAAATACTTAAATTTGCAAGTATTCAAGCTTTTCAACCTTGCATTCTAACCCTTGATATATCATATAAATTATTCCGATTAAGTAATCGATATTTGACGTAAAAGAAAGGTAAATAACTGTTGACAACGCCAAATAATATGACAATAGTTATCAATATTTTAGTTTGCTAGCATGAGATAACACATCGTTTCCTATAAATTATAAAGCTAAAACTGAAGAGCGCTTGCGTGCTTTCAGTGATGATCGTGACATTGTACAGAACGTACATTTCTCATTTCTTTAAAAAGAAAATCGTATTGTCAATATGTTATATTACCAACATTACAAATTTATACAACATATTTTTAGTAGAATTCTCGGATTATCACCATGGACTCACAATAAAAAAGAAATTTGTGAACTCTCATCCGTCGGAACATGTTATAACATATCAATAAGCTTAATTATAATTTTACTCGGTGTTTACGAAGTTTTAGACGAGACATTTGCAGATAAGTTTCCCGGAAAATTAGTTCCGTTGATAATAGTCAAAGTAATATTCATTACATTGTTATGCACAAGTTTTATTCCACTTGTTTACATTATAAAACAGAAGCAGCTAATAAGAGTTATGAACCGCTTCAAAGATGTTGATAGGGTGTTAAGCAAGTGCAAGAATTATGAAAGAAAATATGATCACACTAACATCATAATATTTTGTACTAATTTCTTAACAACCATTTTTTTAATATTAATATTAGACGCATGTTATTTTTCGATTGTCAGAATTTTCATCGAAAATCTGCCGACAATAATCGGCGGGGGTGTAATGATACAGTATGCTATGATAGTTAACAAGTTAAATAATAGATTCGACATTATTAATACAATTTTCTCAAAGTTGGGCAATCTCAAAGTGGATGCTACCCCACAAGTATTTACTGTGACTCAAGTAGCGTCGCGAAGATTGGTCATTACCGACATTGATAACCTCAAATACGCATTTGTAGAATTGTGCGAAATGTGCCAATATACTGCCGACTTTTATGGAATGTCTGTTTTGATTTCCATTCTTTGCTATGCTGAAAGAATTATATTTTGTGTGTATCTCAGTCTTTTACCGGCGTTAGAACTCGGGAATTTTGAGACGCTATGGCAAGTTACGGCGCCACGTTTGATATGGATTGTTTTTGTATTCCTAATGTTCACTGCGAGCATCACAACAATCAAGAAACAGGTATGTTAGAAGAAAACGCAAACTTTACAAAAATTGGAATGCAATCGGAACACGGAGAAAAAAGAATAGAACTTATTCCTATGTAGGATGGTAACCATTACCATGTTACATAGTAACGGAAATTTTTGTGAGAACCCTGTGTAAATTTGCTAAAAAAAATCTTAGAAATTGTGATAAAAATATGAACTATCACTCATTCGATGCGGAATTAAATTCTGAAAATAATGTTGTTTTTTTTTTTTCCTTAATTTGTTTAAAGTCGCATAAACTACTAAGGTCATGAGCGACTACGGTAGGGGGTAAACTTTTGAGATTGGAACTCGTTTTTTATTTCTTGGGCTGAGCAGAATAATACACTTAAACATTGAAAATATTCATTGGTGTACGCCGGACTCGAACCCGGTCCATTGCCTTGGTAAGCAAGGGCCGGATCCGATAGGCTACTGCGCGCCTTAATAATGTTGTTGTTTTTTGATTTTTTTGATGAAAATTTTTTTATTAACAAAAAACATAACCAAAATAAAAAATCTTAGTTTTTCGTAAATAACTCAATAACTATTGGTAATATCAAAAATCACAAAAAAGATCCTTAAAGAGGAAGAAATTCTTGAAAAATAGTCTTTACTCCCGGAACTCTAGCTTAAAAAACAATAATTTTTATTTAATGTTGAAAATAGGGTTCCGCGCAACTGCCGTCGTATTTTAGCATCGGCGCGGCCGTATGACAAAAGTCACGCAGAATCCTATTTTCTACATTAAACAAAAATTATTGTTTTTTAAGCTGGAGTTCCGGGAGTCAAGACTTTTTTTCAGAAATTTCCTCCTCTTTAAGGATCTTTTTCCGATTTTTGATATCACCAATAGTTATTGAGTTATTTACGAAAAACTAAGATTTTTTATTTTGTTTATATTTTTTGTTAATAACAAATTGAAATTTTCATAAAAAAAAAGTAAAAAAACAACAACATTATTTTCAGAATTTAATTCCGCATCGAATGAGTGATTGTTCATATTTTTATCACAATTTTTAAGATTTTTATTAGCAAATTTACACAGGGTTCTCACAAAAATTTCCGTTACTATGTAACATAGTAATGGTTACCATTCTACATAAGAATAAGTTCTATTCTTTTCTCTCCGTGAAGGTTGTAAGAGATCTTACGCAAATTAAATAAAAATTTATTTTTAGACGAGTCATTTGGCGAAAAATATAACCACACTGCGAGACCGAAGTCTGACAGATGATAAAATTGTGGAAAAAGTAATTTTTTTTATATTATTATTGATGTTATTAATCAATAAAATTGATTTCTCTTCATTGCAGTTATCTCAATTTTCCATCGATCTCTTGCATTTAAAGGTAGAATTCACTGCTTATGATATAATGCCTTTAGATCGTACGCTTCTCGCAATAGTGAGTACAATTTATTGTATCAACATTTGTCACCAAAAGTGTTATTTAACAGATTGTTTTTTCAGATTACTGGTACCATTACAATGTATCTAATAATTGCAATACAGTTTGCCGACAGTCCATCTTTAGATAAAACCAAATTGTGATCACGTATTTTCTTTCTCATCAAATCAATTATAAAAATAAGGTTAATATAACATACGCGGTGAGCACTGATGTGACACTCATATTACTGCAATTGAACAATCGATATTATAACGTGCAAACAAAGTGATTACTGTGGAATATTAATACTGCATACAGAATAGAATTATAGATTTAGTATAAATCGTGATATCATACATTAATACTACTAAGCTCCAATCTGCGGCGAAAAAAGTTACTAATTTAGTGTGTGACCAATATTTTACGTTTCAATGAATTTTTTTGAAACCAATTGGAATGTCATCCTGAATGTTAAGATCACTCAAACAAAATTAATTTGAACGAAAAGAAAAATTCTAAAACCAAGAAAATAATTTTGAAGATTTTTATTGTCTTGAATGACGACAGAAAACTCTTGAATCAAGTAAAATTTACTTAGACCAAGAAAAATTTCTTAGCAAGTATTTTTCTACTCAAATCAAGACAATAAACTTCAAAATTATTTTCTTGATTCAAGTTAATTTTTCTGAATTTGGATTTATGCAGCACTTTTGTACTGATTAAGATAACATATTTTTATAATCAAATCGTATCAAGCCATTAATGGACATATCAAACTTTATAAAAATAGAAATGTTTTTTACCGATAATCGTTTATCTTTATTAGAGTATATTTTCATGCGTGCATAATTCAGCGTACAATATCGTTCGTAGTATCAGCTGTACAGTTTTGGCGCTCCTAAACTCTGTTGGCTTAGAATCTTTTAAGACAAAAATATTTGATTTTCTTTTAAATTTTGAATGATGCTAATATGAGTAGTATATGATTTTTATATTATCCATGTATTTACTCTAATTATGTGAAGCAGAACTCTATTCATATAATTTTGCCATTTGGCTCTATATGCCTTGACATTAAAATTCAATAAATAAATAAATTAATTAATTAATTGCACACCTCATGACGCGAAAGCATAAGAGGTAGTGTTCTACTCTCAACACCTCAAGGTCAAGCAATTTTTAGGTCTTAAAATACTTCTATCATAATTATATTTAAATTGTAGGATAAAAATAGACATCTATCAAAAACATTCTCTGAATATCTTATTTTCTATTTCACAAAAAATTGTAGATATAATACAAATATTTAATATATGTGTATAAAATGTATGTCTTAATATTATTACAAGTATATAAGCCGAATTATTTGAGTGAAAAAAATTTACCGACCTTAATTCTTGACGATCACAAAGATTATCTTATAAATCAATGTTAACTTTGAAATTCTGCATTTTGCATCAAATTATTATGAAAACTCATTTTTTATTACTGTCATTCATCTCTGGCAAACACTACCCCCTGATATTAATGGTGCTTCCAGTATTGAGGTCTTTAAAACCACATTATTTGATTTAATGGAGCTAGAGACTTAAATTAAGTTACTCATTATTATCCTCTGTGTAGATATCTACAGTTATTATATCAATTCATCTACCCTAGTTAAATCATGTTAAAATTAAATTTAAATCATCTTATAATTAATCATAAGTATCTTTATTGTTATCTTCATTATATTCTAAATTTTATATTATTGTATCCACTATTACAAAAATTATTTTGTAAACTTTCCCATTTGGCGACGGCCTTGGCATTATTAAATAAATAAATAAATATGCACTTTTATTTTAAAAGACAGTAATACAATTTACTTTTTTTACATAAAAATTAGATAAACATTATGAGGCGTGCACTTTTGGATTTTCAAAACCTTTTTTAAATTCTATTCAGTATGGAAAAATTCCTGTTTTCATTTCAACGCGAGAGTAGACTATATCAGCGCTTCACACATCAAGGCATGCAATTTATCAATAGCCAATAAAATAGCATATGATATACACAAAAAAAACTTGATCGAAGCCTTTGTCATAATAATTCCTCTCAAGTCGTAGTTAGAATAAAATTATTTATGAACCTCGAATGTTAGCAATGTAACTTGATCCATGTCGTGTGCCAACTCAGCGAAGTATTTTATCAACCTACGACCCATATACAAATATATGAACATGAAAATTTTCTTTCTGTATCATGGAGCAATGAAAGTACATTGTCAGTGTGATTTTCGCGTAGGTTGACTGACACAGCGACAGGAGGCGCCTCAGTGTCGCGACAATTGTATGTTGTTACACGCTTCTCAAATGTTTTATATTATTACAATTTACATTATATTATATCATATATTCTCTTATCACGTTAATAAGACATAAAAATGATAACAATAAATTTTATAATCAAGCATGCATTGCAGCAAACGCGCGTGAAAATGCGTTAAGATTTGAATGTTGATTCTGTGCAGTCTTTATGTCTTTTAATAAGATCGGCATGGTACATTATAGTTGAATATTTTTGAAGTGAAATAAGTACAACTCTGCAAGTATTAAAAAATATATAGAAGTGGGGAGCAGGTAAAAGTTTAAAAAGAATAAAAAAAGTTTTATGGAGATAAAGTCAAGCCCAATCGTGATTCCCGGGCACATAATCAAGATCATTGTACTCTCGATCGGTACCTTGGTCGTTGAGATTTATTTCCGGGTCACGTTATGGCAGGTTGACGCCATTACCATTAAATGTCCAATGATTTACCATTGTTCTATTTATCTGATTGTTATCATTTTTTCGTAGCCAACCGATTTTAATGTGATCAATTTTTTATGCCACATATTTCTACTTTAAATTTTTTCCGCCGAAAACTTATAAGAACAAATTCTTAGATGTTTGCTCATATTTCAGCCTATTTTTGTCGATTTTTGATAACAATAATTTGAATATCATTTCATATAGCAGCAAACATAAAACGTAAAAAAATTGGTCATATACGATTTCGGCCAAAAAAATATCAATTTAATATGTGTAGTACATAATTTTTTTATAATTTTGCTCATTTGTTATCATAAATAGATTTTTTGGGGAGGTCGATGTTGCTGAGGGATAGAAATTTATTAGTTTGAGAGAAATTCACTTCCTCTTTTTTTAAATACTTAGAATTTTGAGAAATAAATTACTCGATAATCGATAACACAACTCTTACAAACAAATATAAATTTCTTAAGGTCTAATTTAATTACTTTAAAATACTTAAGATTCAAAAATATCGCTCTCATAAACTTTGAGCTCAAAAATTTGGAAATTATAAAAAGAAAACATTTTATTTAAATATTTTTGTACTAGCCGTGTAATTTTGAAGCAAATTACTACATTAAGTGCAGTTTCTTGAATACTAAGTTTAACATAACAGGAATATAATTGATCGGTTTGAAAGCGTTGGAGTTATTGCAGAAAAACCCAAACAATATTATTTTAATCAGCCATACGTTCAGATTCTCTACTGAATACTATAACATCGAGGAATCAAGCATGTGGCGGAAATTCTGCTAACTTTAAATCTACATTATTGCATTATCCCTTGAAAATGTTGTTATAGACCTATGATAAGATTTTACTAATCTAAATGTATTTCACATCAGTCGGTAAGAACAGGATTTCTTGATATACAAACACAGTTAATAACTCATGGAGAGTCTAACACCGACTCTCTATTCTACCAACAGTCAAAAGCTGTAGAACATTTATTATCACCAGTTGTAGTAATTGACATCGATTCAGAAAATTGTACAATGGTAGAAAAAGATTTAGATCCGAGACAAAAGAACAAACAAATTTTGTAATAATAAAATAGATGGGCAAGTTGTGATCTTGGAGGTAAAATAATGAGCCATTAATATTCAATTTTCGTGAGTATAAGATTTATTTAATGTAAAGCAGCACTTATTTGTGAATTTAAACATTAATATAATTCATATATAATTTTAAATAAATAATTATATCTAGTGAGTATTGAGTAAGTGGAGTTAAACTGTAGAATCCTCTATAACCATCGATCGAGTACAAAAGTAGCTATCCACTGAAAATTCCAATTCGAAGTCAAGTTACCTACAAATGCTGACTTTCTAAATACTGCTAGTAAATTGATGCCAATTTTCCAACGCTGATTTTGGTATCAGCTTAATTGCTGATTGGTAGCAAACTGTCCATAAAAGTTAAAAAGACGAAATGTAATGGCAGTAAGCAGAAAAGAAACATTAATATATAAATGATGAAGCCTAAGCTTCAATTCATCCGATGTTTAGTCAATAAAACTAGAAATCCGATATTTGCGGTCAATCTGCATGCAATTTGAAAGCAAGTATAGCGTTTCAACTTTTCATTCAGTTTGCTTCCAATCTGTGTCGCACATTGACACCAAAATGCGTCAACAGATAGATGTCAGTTTGCTACTACGTGGTTATTGAGGTAAGTTGAATTTATTTGGTAGTTTTTCTTTTTCTTTCATTAAAAACGCCAAGTTCCTTGGACACCAATATGGGGTTGAACGTGTTGTCCAGGAAGCTTCAAAGCACCACCTCCAGCACTTATCTGTCCATTTTTGCCTTTATAGATATTATGCTGATAGTCCAAGTTCCATGTAGGTCTACGTTCTGGTCCATTCAGAGGTTTCTGTCCCTGTAGAACGATTGATCCTTGAGGCTCAGGTGAGCGACGGAATCTCCAAGTTCCCTGGATACCAATATGGGGTTGAACGTGTTGTCCAGGAAGCTTCAAAGCACCACCTCCAGCACTTATCTGTCCATTTTTGCCTTTATAGATATTATGCTGATAGTCCAAGTTCCATGTAGGTCTACGTTCTGGTCCATTCAGAGGTTTCTGTCCCTGTAGAACGATTGATCCTTGAGGCTCAGGTGAGCGACGGAATCTCCAAGTTCCCTGGATACCAATATGGGGTTGAACGTGTTGTCCAGGAAGCTTCAAAGCACCACCTCCAGCACTTATCTGTCCATTTTTGCCTTTATAGATATTATGCTGATAGTCCAAGTTCCATGTAGGTCTACGTTCTGGTCCATTCAGAGGTTTCTGTCCCTGTAGAACGATTGATCCTTGAGGCTCAGGTGAGCGACGGAATCTCCAAGTTCCCTGGATACCAATATGGGGTTGAACGTGTTGTCCAGGAAGCTTCAAAGCACCACCTCCAGCACTTATCTGTCCATTTTTGCCTTTATAGATATTATGCTGATAGTCCAAGTTCCATGTAGGTCTACGTTCTGGTCCATTCAGAGGTTTCTGTCCCTGTAGAACGATTGATCCTTGAGGCTCAGGTGAGCGACGGAATCTCCAAGTTCCCTGGATACCAATATGGGGTTGAACGTGTTGTCCAGGAAGCTTCAAAGCACCACCTCCAGCACTTATCTGTCCATTTTTGCCTTTATAGATATTATGCTGATAGTCCAAGTTCCATGTAGGTCTACGTTCTGGTCCATTCAGAGGTTTCTGTCCCTGTAGAACGATTGATCCTTGAGGCTCAGGTGAGCGACGGAATCTCCAAGTTCCCTGGATACCAATATGGGGTTGAACGTGTTGTCCAGGAAGCTTCAAAGCACCACCTCCAGCACTTATCTGTCCATTTTTGCCTTTATAGATATTATGCTGATAGTCCAAGTTCCATGTAGGTCTACGTTCTGGTCCATTCAGAGGTTTCTGTCCCTGTAGAACGATTGATCCTTGAGGCTCAGGTGAGCGACGGAATCTCCAAGTTCCCTGGATACCAATATGGGGTTGAACGTGTTGTCCAGGAAGCTTCAAAGCACCACCTCCAGCACTTATCTGTCCATTTTTGCCTTTATAGATATTATGCTGATAGTCCAAGTTCCATGTAGGTCTACGTTCTGGTCCATTCAGAGGTTTCTGTCCCTGTAGAACGATTGATCCTTGAGGCTCAGGTGAGCGACGGAATCTCCAAGTTCCCTGGATACCAATATGGGGTTGAACGTGTTGTCCAGGAAGCTTCAAAGCACCACCTCCAGCACTTATCTGTCCATTTTTGCCTTTATAGATATTATGCTGATAGTCCAAGTTCCATGTAGGTCTACGTTCTGGTCCATTCAGAGGTTTCTGTCCCTGTAGAACGATTGATCCTTGAGGCTCAGGTGAGCGACGGAGAATCCAATTTCCTTGGACACCAATATGGGGTTGAACGTGTTGTCCAGGAAGCTTCAAAGCACCACCTCCAGCACTTATCTGTCCATTTTTGCCTTTATAGATATTATGCTGATAGTCCAAGTTCCATGTAGGTCTACGTTCTGGTCCATTCAGAGGTTTCTGTCCCTGTAGAACGATTGATCCTTGAGGCTCAGGTGAGCGACGGAAACGCAAAGGGTTTGACGGTGGTTTTGGACGATTCTGTCACATAAGTAAGTCTATTCAATCATTTTCGGCCAAAAAATTATTCTAATTTAATAAATACTGCTACTATGATAGCATGGCTTAATAAATAATTTATATTTTTTTTCTTTTAAATCTTTTTGTACTTACTATGTAGGGAGGAGGTTGGTGGCCATCCTTGATACCAGGTTCAGGTTCGCTCGAAACAATCGCAAAAGTTACAGCAAGTACGAGAAAAATAGTTTTCATATTGATAGTTAACTAAAATTTTGTAATAAACACTTAATTTGTTTACTAATGTAGTAAATAGATAGATTCAATTCTGCAAGAACTGGAAAACTGTGATGAAAGTATCCACGATGCAATCTTATATACTTCATTTCATTGAGCATATTTGCATAAGGGGAATCACTCTTAGTATAAACCGTTTGTCAGAAGAAATACTATGAGTAGTAGTGGGGATTGGGAACTCCGGCTCGAGACAGCGGCGAGGATTCCCAGTTCTTTTTATTGCTTTTGTATGCAGTTCAATGTAACTCGATCACCCACAGTTCACAGTGGATGAAAATACTCAGTCGTCATAAAGTTTCTTATCTTTTTGTTTATTACAGCAACAATATTCATTATCTTTCATTCAATAATGAAATATCCTTAGATTTTTTATAAATAAACAAATTGTTTTTCCTGTACAATTATAATTCATAAGGTTATCACGGGTTAACAGTAAGTATTGCATGAATCATAATTTCAAGTATGTTAAATTTTTTATTTTTTAATTTTTTTTTTTTTCCAAAAAATCTGAATTCAATCACTACAATTTTCATAAATTCATTAAGGTAGGTGACCTCTTTGGAAAGATAAAACAAAACATTTTAAATAAATTCTTTTTTTTGGCCCTGTTTAAGACATTACAATATTTATTTTTAAAGCTTTTCATTATAGTTTATAAATTACAAAAATACTTGATTTTTTTTTAACGAGTCTAGTCGGATAAGTATAACATAATAGCGCACATGGTTATTGTGTTAATTAGTATTTTTCAGTATGAATATACTCTAAAAAAATTATACTTACTTTTTTTAGCATGAATTCTCAATTAATTTTTGAGATAACGACCAAAAGTTAAAATTTTTCAAATCGATTTTTTTCAAAAACTATAAGAGATAGAAAGATCGGGCCAATGCCAATCTATTAAGAATTTTTCAAAGAATATTATTGTTACGTTCCCAAATTTTGGGTTAGTTTATTTAAAGTTTACCAGGCGGGTGTCTTTAGGATATCTATCGATTCCAGGCGCACCCTGCTCTTTCATACTCTATTATAAATTTTTAAAATAATTATTAGGGAATTAACCACTAAAATAAAACACTCAGTCTGTGTTGAAATTAAATATATTGAAAAGCTTCAGTAATTCGGGCACCGGACTTACGTCCGGAGCCAAAGATGGTTGTCGCCTGGTTGCCCAGGGTAGACTGCCTTGGATTTTCATCCAGTACAATAAATTTTAATAATTAAATGTCGCAACGCCGCATCTCAGGTTACCCTAGTGAACACCATCGAGGCCCGAATCTCATGCAGCGTCATGAGTTTTGAATTCGAGTCGCGATGGCGTTCGCAGAATTTCTTTATCTTCTCGTCACTCCGTTAAATAATTCTTTGAACGGAATGATTGAGGTTTTATTTAATAAAAATAATTTCTAAGATCCTAAAATAAATTTCGAAATTTGCTAGAACGTTACAATTATAGATTTCTTTTACATTGTTAGATAATTTTAAATAGTAAAAAAAAATTAAAAATTTTTTTGATGACCATTTATTTCCATGTTCTAATATACTTACGCTAACCAATAAAATTCTGATGGATATTTCTCAAGGTATTTACTTTCAATACAATAAAGCGGACCAAAATTAAAAATGCGCTTTTTGAGTTATTAAAATTTAGGACGACGGTTGACCCTAAAGGCCATCCCTGCAACTTCCCGCTCATTTTGTACTTAAGCGCTCAAAATTACACATTACGTTTTTGAGCTCTTCGAGCTCACAAATATGATTTTTGTGTCATTTTGAGCTCTTCGAGTTCAAAACTCTAATAGCAGTTTAATAAAACATAGTTATTTGAATTTTCAAACGGCAATAACTTTTGAATGAATGAACCGATTTTTACGCGGTTGGCGGCATTCGATGCAGTTTTTAAAGCCCCATAAAGAATCTTCAAGTTTAAATCGATCGAGCCAGGAATTTCGAAGTAATTCCGAAAAAATACTTTTTTCGGTTTTCTTTCGACATCGATAACTCGCGAACGAATCAATCGATTTTGACCGGGCTCGCAGTGATCGACGTGGTTTTTTTGATCTTAAGAGCTGATTAGATTTTGAAATTGATCGGTGAAGCCATTTAAAAGTAATTCCAAAAAAACCACGTTTCAAAACATTTTTTTTTGTAGTTTTTTTGAGATTTCTCAAAATCTATTGGTCCGAATCGGTCCAAAGTGTATTCAAAATCTAAGTTTGGTCAAACCCTTTCGAATGGCGCCAACAGCGATAAAATCGGTTAAACCGTTCAAAAGTTATAAAAGGGTTACATACACACACACACACACACACACACACACACACACACACACACACACACACACACACACACACACACACACACACACACACATACACGCGCGCACACATACATACAGCCACATGGACATCATCGCGAAAACATTCAGGGAAGCTTCCTAGGACCTCAAAACGTCGAGATCTGTTGAAACCTCGATTTTTGCAAAACGGTGTAAAACCAATAACTTCCCGATTTTTGAAAATCTTCGATTTTCTTAGCGGGAAGTTAAAAAAATACGAAAAACAGCTGACCCGGTATTCCGTCTCTGGGAGTTCTCAACATTTTAAACTCAAAGTGTTTAAGAATGTATCCATTAGTAAGCTTCTCGAGTTCAAAAATATAAAATTTTTACGTCTTTAAACTTTTAGGGCTGAAAACATTAACTTTCTAAGCCATTGAAGCCTTCAATTCTCTTAGCGGGACGTTAATTATTATTTCATTTTTAATAATTCATTTAGCATTAAAAAAATTATTTTTTACATTAACTTATAAAGAATAAATATTTGATAATAAATACATATACTTAAAACTATTAACAATTCTGTGTTGGTATTTTATGTAAAAAAGAGACATGAAATATATTATTCTATTTATTTATTAAGTCATAATCATCACTGTTCTCATTAATAATAACGTTAACATTATCATAAGGAAATATTCAAAGCAAAATTTCCACAGGACGTATTATACGTGACAAATATCGCCCATGAGCTAAGTAGTAAATTACACTAACCACATGGGCGCAACATTCAACTGTTCTGTTTCCATTTGGACAGTCGCAATAGTGGCGAATATAAACGTGGTAAGTTTTGCTATTTAAATGCCATGATCGTACATCTAACTTGATAATATTCGGTGTTTCTTTTACATAATGCACGAAAAATTATTTTCCTCATCAATTATTTCAGTCAAATTTGAAACAGCTAACGATAAATGATAGGAATCGGTGAATAAAATTTTTAATGGTTCTCCATTCAACCGTGAAAAGTCAAGAAGTTCTGATGCTACTAATCGTTTCAGAAATATTTTTAGTTTATTCCATCCTTTTTCTTCGACCGCTTCTTTTAATGAATTGGATGTATGCATCTTTTTGTTTATGAAATCAACAATAGTTTCAGCTAATAGATCATCTGAACTTAATCGATTACCATACTGATATTGCAAAAATCCAAATGCTTTATAATCTTTTTTTTTTTGTTTTTAAATTGATTTTTATTTAGAGTTGGTTTTGACTTTGTTTATACTTCGTATCACCGACTAACTGTTGGGAGTGGTGTGTTGGGGACTTTTTTGGATTGTGAGAATCTTAATCTACGCAGCAAGGGTCCAATTTCAACCAAGCTAGTTTCTAAAGACCAGCTTGGGATTCGAACCCACCCCTAGCCGGTGAGTTAGTTCGAGTGCTCTATAGACCGTGCGCCTTTAACCACTCGGCTACCGTCGCCGGTTAAAATAAGGTAGAATATTATAGGAATCATTCCTATACCATTATGGGAATCATTCTCTAAATAAATTAACGATAAAATCTTCGTGTGGAGTGAGTTCGAAATGATTCCTATAATATATGCACGGAAAAAAAAATTGGGGCTGCCACATGATACTTTCCTGTGGCAGCCACATAATTTTTTCATAGGACAGCCACATGAAAAAATCATGTAGCAACCACATGATTTTCATGTGACAGCAACATAATTTTCATGTAGTAGGCAATAATAGTTAAAACAACAATAATAATTAAATAATTATCATAATCATAATAATAATAATAATCTATATTATTAAGAGAATAAGAAAAATTTTGTGGCCAGTGTATTTATATGATAAAATGGGTTTTTGCTTGGAGTTGTGCCTTTTCAAGGTTTCATATCATTTTCACCAATAGTCAATTTATTATAATAAGAATTTAGGCTGCATTCGAAAATGCTCTGTGTCTAGATACATAATGAATAAATGAGCTTGTATCTGGTAAACTATTGACATTTTTGAAGATATAAGCATCACATCAGAGTAATTATATTTCTGTGTTTGAAAACTATTTATTTTTAAAAACGGGAAATCAAATAATTTACAGAATTTTGAATTCAGGTTAAGTGATAAAAATTGTTTAGTTTTATTTCTTTGTTTTTATTTTATTTTCACTAAAAAAATAAAATATTTATCAGAGTAAAGTAATTATATCGGATATTTTTTGAAGGAAACAACTTATCAACCTTCAGATTTGACGACAATAACATGTCAATTAAGTATTATTGCTTAGTAAGATATTGGAATAATAGCCTTTTTATCAGTCCTGATACTAAATATCGATTGGCTCAGTATACGGTTTTTACATTCACACTATCTGTAATTATTGTATTGTGTTATTAAGAAGTTATTTTTGGTCCTAGTCCAATCGTTCGCGTAACTAAAATATCTGGTTATAAGTTTTTAAAAAAATCAATTATTATACTATAAAATTATACTATAAAAATTATTATACTATAAATCATTAAAACTAAATATGATGATACAAAATTCATTTGATATTTCACTTTTGATTTTACTATTTTTTTTGATAGTGAACGTCTGTTCAGCAAATGGAAATTACAATAACACCACTTCTGGTCATAATTGTGCGAAATATAATGAAATTGTACCGTTCTTTACGTATATTTATAATAGATTAATCATTTTTAGAGTAGATATTAACATAATTCTAACTATTTTTTTAGTGTCATCCTTATTCTCCACAACCATGTTGCGATGACAACCTTTCATGCAAAATAAAAAAATCGAGAAATGACTTTGTCTGCACAGAAATAAGTAAATTTTGAATTCAAAATATATATATATTAGTGAAGTACGCTCTTCTAATCTGCGGATGAAGAAATACTTATGCAAATTTCGAAGCTTTTTTTTCTCGATATCCTTATCGGCAGATGAAAGAATTTTCATTTATTTTCATAGACAATAAAATAGTACATTGCATAGGTATAATACTAAGATAATTATTATGTGGCGAGGGCAATGTTATCAGCATGAGTTGTAGTGTCATGTGGCTCGACGTGTGCTAAAATGTGCAGGTCATCATGTCTGAAATGAGCATATATTCCTACACAGAAAAAAAATTAACTTGAACCAAGAAAATAATTTTGAAGAAGTTCATCGTCTTGATTTGAATTGAAATAGTAATTTATGTCATATGGCCGCAAAGTAGCGATTTTCTGACAATGACGATGTTGCAATATGAGCTTAAGGCTTGAAGCGTAAGGCACAAACTTTAAAGCAAATATCGTAAAATCATCGTTATCAAAATCGCCACTTAGTGGTGAAATTTCATCCGATTGCACAAGAACAGTACGGACAAAAAAGGGAAGGAAACTTTGCGGCCTAGGCCGCGGAAAAAAGGCGCTATGGTAGAGTCTCTAGAAATGAGTATCTTTTCGGACGTCATCCAGCGCTCAAAAGTTGAACTTTTGGAGCGAGTATAACAAAAAATTCTTAAATTAAAGTAGTGTCCTGCTACAATATTGTCAAAAAGCTTCGCCTCGGCCAACCATTGCTTGTAATCTGATACATTTATTACTTTCTTGCTTTAGGTGAGTAATATACTATTTTTCATGCACACTACACGTGTAACTGCCGCGACTATCACCTTTTATGTACTAGTACCAGGGCTGTGGTCAATCGACGCTGTCACTTTTGTGCTTATATGTAGCCTTCAATATGATTCTTTCAAAGGTCTCAATATTTTTATTAAGGAAAATATTTTGTATTGATATTATTTTGATTAAATTGAATTGATGTCTGTGATAAATTCATATAATGTATTACAAATATGAAAATATGTAAGAAGCTGTTTCATCGGCAATAAGTGTGGCATTGTAGACAAATAATTATTTAATAGTTTTTAAATTGATGAAAACGTACATAATATTTAAAAAAAAAATCTGAAAAATTAGATAAAAAATTTTTTTAATTTGTGCTTGTTAAATTTAATTTTTTTTGACAAAATTTTTTATTTTTTAATTTCAATATTTCACGTTTGCAACATTTACACTCATATTAATATATCCGTATGATAATTTAATAACCGATAATTGAGTATTTATTTAGAAACAATTTTAATTTTTTTATTTATAAATAAATATATAAACTTCGGTATAAGACTATCTATTCGATGTTAAAAACGTTTCGGCATCTTAGTAATCTTAACTTTCTGGCTTTGCAGTGTAACATACTAATTTCTTAATTACAGTAAATTTTAATTGATTTAAGAATTTTTTGTCTCGATTCAAGGCAATAAAAATCTTCAAAATTTTTTTTTGGTTCAAGAATTTTTATCTTAATTCAAGTTAATTTTTTTCTAAGAATACATAAAAAATTATTCGGTCATAGGTGGTATAGAGAATTCCCGACAAAAAGCGTATTATAGAAACTTATCTGACATGGATTTTCAATTTAATATTGTCATCCTGGTTCTAGTTATTAAACTAACAAATCAATATTTTTTAATAAGATATGATCTGACGTACACATTTGTATAAAAAATAAGAAATTTAAAAATCATAATAATTTTTATACTCTCGTATATAGCCTGATATGAAAATTTTTTTACGGAGCTGAGCTGATTAATTTTATAATTTATAATCTTTACTCCAAATATAGTGATTTTGAAAGCAACATGTGGGAATGATGATGACTGTAACGACATAAAACATGCCAAATGTTCTGATGACAAAGACTGTACTTGCATAGTAGGTTACAGCAGTGTAAATAAAACTTATTGCGCACCATCGTTGAATTCGTTTTGTTGGAGAGATGAAAAATGTGCAGCTGATCATGCTTCTTGCATTGATAGCCAGTGTCAATGTGATGAAGACTACTTACAACACTCTCACAATGAGTGTTTACTAAGTAATTAAATTAATATTGAAAAAAAAAAACAATTTTTTCTTCAAAATTTTTTTTAATATTTGGGAAAATGTTTTTATCTTTCAGAGTTGATAGGTTCATCTTGCAAAGATAATTCTGAATGTAGCAGAGTTAAATATGCTCAATGTTCAGCAGGTAATATTTGTGTTTGCTCGATAAACACAAAATCGGTCGATCAGGCATTATGTTTACCAGTTTTGAACGAATACTGTAAAACAAACGATGATTGCAAAGTTGAAAATTCTATTTGTATTGACAATAAGTGTCAATGCAAGCCAAACTACATGACACTTTTGAATGAGTGTCAGGCACGTAAGTGTTTAGAAATTTCTATTCGAACATGTGATGATGATGATGATGATGATGATTAAGCATTTAATATATAATAATTTATTGTAATTCAGCATATTTAGGCATGCCTTGTATCAATTCAAAAAACTCATGTAGATTTATCAATCATTCAATATGTTTGGATGATAGGGAATGTACATGTTTGCCGAACTATCTTCCTGTAAACAATAATACATGCTTACCGGCTTACAATCAGATATGCTTCAATAATGAAGAATGCGCAACGAAGAATTCTGTTTGCGTCAATTACAGATGTAAATGTAAGCCTTATTATATCTATCGACAAGTTCAATGTGTGTCAGGTACTTAAACTTGATTTAAAAAGATCTAAATCAATAATAGAGCTTTAGTTGATTTCTTATATCTGATATTTATTGCAGCATATCTGCGGCAATGGTGTCAAAAAGAAGAAGATTGTAGTGGAGTCAAATTTGCAACCTGTTCAAAGGACAATATATGTGTTTGCAAACGGAACTATTTTCAATCAGATGACTCAAACTGCTCACCTCTTTTAAAAAGTAGTTGTTCTACAACGGAAGATTGCATTGTTGCTAATTCCGTTTGTCAGGATGGAAAATGTAAATGTGGAGAAAGTTTTTTCGCTAAATCTAATGATCGCTGTGCGAAAAGTAAGTATATATTTATAAAGTAAATGAAGATTTATTTTTTCGACCTTGAACGCAAAGCAGAGCTATCAAATTATATACCTAATAATATAGATCTCGGATGCATTTCTTGACCATAGTACTTGACAAAGTTCGTGATAAAGAATTCAACAATTCTTGAACAGGATAGTTAATGAAAGATTCTGTACTTAGAATAGTGTCACGCAACCTGCAACTAAGTCGCAAACATTGGTAGACAAATTAATATTTATTTATTTATTGATTTTTTATCTATCGTTGATTTACGTTGGATTTAATCATTAATTTTTTTAAACAAATCTTTTCGTATTTCTGATCGACTGAAAATTCTGATGACCTCAAAGTTTTTAATTCAAAATTGACAGTTTTTTCAGAGCCGCCATGTTTTATTGGATCTCTTGTGAAACTGACCAGTTACTTGACAGAAACTCGATATTATTTCTACTAGGGACACGCATTTACACGTCCAACTATTCGATTTAAGCAATGACATTTTTACTCATCATTAACCGCTTCAATTTTTTTATTCTGATGATAAAATTTTTTTTGATTTGAATATTTAAAATATTTTGTCATTTTTTAATTCTTTTTGAAAATTTGAATTTTTCCGCGTGAAAATCAGAATATTAATTCAAAAGTTATTGCTGTTTAAAAATTAAAAAAATATTTTTTTTTCAAACTGCTATCAAACTTTTGAGCTCAAAGAGTAACACACAAATTGTATTTATAAGCTTGAAGAGCTCAAAAACATCATAAGTGCAATTTCAAGCGTTTAGGTATAGAATTGGCGGGAAGTTGCAGGGATGGCCTTCAGGGTCAACCGTTTTCCTAATTTTTTTTTTTGTCAAATTCGAATTTTTTCAACTTCCCATTAAGAAAATTGAAAATTTGTGTATGTGTGTGTGTGTGTTATATTCCTATAATAATTATACTTAGGACTTCCATATTTATTGGAACTGCTGCTATAATTTTTGTTCATAATTCCCATAATATAGTACAAGAAAAATTTTCATAAGGTTTTTGAAACAGTTTTATATATTCCTTTCCGTACGTAAGAAAAGTTTTTTTGCCGAAGATTTTCACTGAGTTACCATTTAATTTATCTTATTTCCGTTTATAAAATAAATTTCAAAGGCACGCATATTCAGATTCACCAAACTATCTAATATCGTTATGTTATAATAAGTACTTAAGAAATAACAATATTTTTTTTTTTCCTAGTTTCTCTAGTTCAAACGTGCTCGACATTTTACGACTGTCTTACTATTCCGCATTCTGACTGCTCGAAGATTGGTTTATGTTATTGCGATTTGGGATATGTTTCAATAGATGGCATCAGGTGTGTACCTGCTTTGGGCCAGTTTTGTACTAAAAGTAAGCCATGCGGAATTAATAACTCTGATTGTATCGATAACAAGTGTCAATGCAAACCTTATTTTGAGGAGGCTCGTGACTCTGAATGCATACCAAGTATGTATATAATTAATAAAAATTGATGAATTACTGATTTTCTAAACTGCAATGATTACTAATAGTTTAAATAATCAATTTTTTACAGTAAATTTCAATAAATCTTGTTCATTTGATATTGACTGCCGAGACATAAAACATTCCATGTGTTTCTACGGAGAGTGTACTTGTAAGCAAAATTATGCTCCTGTAAATTTCCAAACCTGCGTCCTACTTTTAGGAGGAGTTTGTTCCACAAATGAGGATTGCTATTATGTCAAAAATTCAGTTTGCGTTTCAAATATATGTATATGTGATGCTGAACATTTGACCGTATCCAATAACAAATGTGAACCAAGTGAGTCATAATATTTACAATAATTTGCGAATGATATAATCAATAATATCACCTAAAATACACCAATCACTGTACGTTTCATAAAACAAAATGATTCAGGGGTCATTCTAGTTAAAGTGCTTAAAAAAAGCCAATATTAATGATTTTTTTTTTGTACAGAAATTATTACAGTTATTAATATAAAATTTATTCGGCTCCACAAACAGACTCTTGAATTATACAATAAATATCTAAATTTTTTTTTCTTTAATTTTTCATATGAATAAGTAATGAATGAACAAAGCTCTTAAAAAAATTGGTGTGTTGCTGACATGTATAATAACTTCATAACGGCATATAAAAAATTCTTATAACGCGAATTTTTTTTTTAATTTTTACAATTGTTGTGTTTTTTTTTTTTTTTTTTCAACAATTTATTTCATATTTTCCTTAGACATGTTAGGAACATTGTGTCTGACAAATGATGACTGTGACAATATCGATAATTCAATATGTTCAGCGGACAACGTATGTACGTGTAACCTGAATTATAGAGCACTTGAAAAATTTTTGTGTGAACCAATGTTGAACGGATTTTGTTCAGAGGATAGTCAATGCCCTACAGATTCATTCCGTTGTGTGGATCATCAATGTCAATGCCAACCTAACTTCACTGCAATGTCTGCAAGCCAATGCTTTGAAAGTGAGTACAATTTTTTTTGTAAATACGAATATAAGTGTATTGATATCTGATTTTCATTTTCAGCGAACCTGATAAATACTTGTACCAATGTTACTGAGTGCAGTGATTCATGGCATGCACAGTGTACATCCGATCACAAATGTGTTTGTGATTTGAATAATATGGCATTGAATCCATCGACATGTTTGCCGATATTGAATGGTTTTTGTTGGAGAGATCATCAATGTATGGCTGAAAATTCTGTTTGCACTGATTATCATTGTGCATGCAAACCGAATTTTATTGCTGTCGCTCGTAATCTATGCATTCCTGACAGAAGAAAAATACATTTATATTGATTATGATCGATAGGTAGATACTTTATTTTATTTCATAGCAAAGCTAATGGCAAAATGGCAATTTTCAAAAAATAATACTTGATAAAAAAGAATATTATAATAAACATGTCATATAGATAAGCATAATAATATTTACTGTAGAATGTAATAACATAATCCTCAACATTATAAAATGAACTTAATTTTAAGTAACAATATATGATACAAATTTTTACAATATGTGTATAGAAAAGGTAATTGATTTTTATCAATATTATCTAGGAAGACAACATATAACCAAGAATTTTTTATATTTATGTGGTTAGTTGCCCCTTAAGGAACACTGAATGGGGAAAGCTCTAAAATCTAAGTTTTAAGATGATTAGAAATATTAAATATTATCACGGAAAGATTAGAATCCTACTGGTTGCTTTTCTGCACCCGAATTAAGCGTTGAGAAAACTATCCACCATAACCTTAAAATAGAATCTTTTTCTAAAAAGTTTATGGCCGGATGTCGTATCATTTTACGTTACTTCTGTGATTATTTTATTCGGTTGTTGATTGGTCGACTGAGATAGTGGCGGAATTTTTGAAAAAATGAAGGCGAGCGAAGCGAGCATGTTATGCCTAGTATTTTAAAATGAAAGATAAAACAGATTTTAATAAAGTATGGCCATATCAGAAAATTATTTTTAATATAGTCACGGACTTGATTGTTATCAAAGGATTTATCGTACTCACCGCAAATGAACATGTTTCTCCGGCAACCTTAATACCTGTTACACACACGGGCTGATAATGGTTTATCAGTCCTTCGGTAGTTATAATCAAGAGGTTAAAGTTGACACCATCAGTTACTATAGATAGCCAAGTCTGAACTGAGAAGTTAAATTTGAAAATTAATACTATTTCAGTATATAAATAAAGCCAGTGCAGTAGTATCTTCGAAAGTATACGTACACGGAAAGATTAGAACCCGAGTGGTTCGTGTGCTGCACCAGACTCAGTCATGTGCAAGAAAAAAATGAAAGAAAAATTAGTTTGCACCAGAATGAGTCGTGTGCGCACACGACTCAGTCGGGTTCCACACAGTAATCACTCGGGTGCAGCACCAGAATCCGTGCACAGTAATCAGTCTGGTGCCGCACACGAGTCATTCATGTGCCGCACACGAATGACTCGGGTTCTAATCTTTCCGTGTAAATAAGATGTTTACAACACAATGCCAATAGTAAAAAAGATAAACAAATAAAAATAAATCCTATTTCCTGAGAGAAAAAAATTCTTTTGAAAAATACCGGCCTAGTTACAAGAAATTAATTTACAAAAATTTTTTAATAATTTTATTATTTAGCTGAAAATAAAAATTTTTCTCAAAATGACTTTCTGGTTGAAGAAAAATTTTTTTGGATTCAGAAAAAATGATTTTAGTGTAACAAATTTCGAATTTTTATCCAAAATTATTTTTTCTCGAATTTAGAAAAATTTTTTTCTGCAAAAAAATTACTATGAGAAAAATTTTTATCAGCTAAGGAATAAAATTGTTAAAAATTTTCAACAAATTAATTTTTTGTTATTATGCCGGTTTTTTGCAATAGTATATTAAGTACCTAGGACAGTAAAGTAAGAAACGTCTTAATAGATCACATGTAATTGTCGGCCGAAGCGAAACAGAGGTTGACAAACATGTAATCTGAGGCTTTCTTATTTATTGGCAAAGGTCAGTATACTATTTTTCTGTTTGACGGAGTCAGAAAGCGGCAACTTCGTTTAGCGCAGTGGCTCGGAAGTGGGTCTGTAAATCATCTAGATCATCGAGTGGGCCTGTTGCTTAACATTCTCTCTTAGAAATCAGCCTAATCAAGGATTTTAGTAAATGAGCCACAAAAAGGACAGCGTTGCATCTCAGGTTAATCTAAAGAAGACGTCGGAGCTCAGCTCTCATGATGTCTAGACTGAAACTCAACGACATTTTATCAGAGGCAGTTTCTGTTTCTTCAATGAATTTTATTATTCATTACCAACGAAGCAGTCAATAATTATAAAATTTATCAAAGTCAGAAAAGTGATGATTTTAAATCTTAATATTTTTTAATTTAACAAGAACTTAAAACACTGATATTTTTTCTTTTTCTAAATCATTCTGCACAGAACGCGAATTCCTGATGTAAAATAAATTTAAATAACCGTAACACTGGTTTTAACATACATTGTTCACAAAACTTACTAAATAAAGCTTTTATTCACGGAATCAAGAAACAAGAGAGTTTTTAAGCAATTGCTTACGAAATTCAGAGTTGAGGGGGAGGGGCACTTCAATAAGAAATTATAAACCGAAAAATAATCAGAATTAAATGCTGAAAATATAGGCATATTTTTAAGATTTTATGCTAATTATTATGCAAAATAGATAATTTTTTTTAACTTCCCGCTAAGAAAATTGAAAATTTTTTTTTTTCATTTCATATGTATGGCTCTCCTCAAATTCTTTCTTTTCTAAGTCGTAAAAAGACGTAACACTTCAAAGTTATGATCTGTTTTTAGATTTTTATGAGAATTTTTTTTTTTTACATGGAAGGGTAAACTTCCAAATCGATGAAGAGATAAAAAAAATATAATATTGAAAAAAAACGTCCCTGGCTTTTCAAACACTCTTATAATTTTATGATTAAAAAAAAAAAGATTCTTACTATGTTATTCGAATATAACACCGGCTGTGCTGACTAAGCGATTAATGTGAGTTACCTATATAATATGAAATGTTTTGTCGCCATAAAGTTACATATGAATTTGCGGCAGTCTGACTCCAGCGACCGTCAAACTCAGACAAGTCGCATATACTAACAGAGCGTGTCACTGATTTGTTGGTATTAAATCAATTAACTCGAATTTTTTAAAGTATGATAGTTTAAAATTTATCGAGAAGAGAAACTAAATTGAAATACTTCTTCATTGTTTCTGATTAATTACAACATAAAGTGAGATTTTACGATGAATCCTCGAAAGTCGTGGAAAGGATTAGGAAAAGCAGGGAAGAAGCGTCGTCGCAGGCGTATTCTTCGCGACAATATTACAGGAATTACCAAGTCTACAATTCGTAGGCTAGCACGGCGAGGAGGCGTCAAACGTATATCGGCATTAGTTTATACCGAAATTCGTGATGTTCTTAAAACTTTTCTCGAAAATGTCTTGCATGATGCTGTTATTTATACTCAATTTGCAAAAAGAAACGTGGTGCATACATTGGATGTTATTTTCGCCTTAAAAAGACGTGGTCACACACTTTATGGATTTGACAAATAAAAAAGGTAATTCTTTTGTTTAATTATTCTTGTCTGATATTCAAATCCCTTTTATTGTCAGTGAATAAAAAATATACTGTAAAAAAGACAGTTCTAAAAATGAACTCAATTAAAGGTAGTTGTCGTGGTTAAGGCATAGGGTCAGAAAATTCTAAATTTTCATATACTTATTAAGGACATGATACAATTACCCTAAAAATTTGAAGTTGGATATTTAAAATTGTTATTTTATTAAAAATTCGATATTTAACATTGATTGCATACGCTCTCTACAGTTCTGTATTAGTTTTTTAGTTATAAAAAAAAACTAACTGTCGGAAACTTTCAAAAACTGACAGTCTTTTAATGTATTTGCTGGGAGTTTAAAAAAAAATAAAAAAAAATTTTTGACCGTCTAATTATTTATAAATAACGGATTAAAGTTTAACAATTTATGAAAAAATTTATCTTTGAAGTCGGACAAAAACAATTGTATGGGTTGCGTCTTCACGGGTACAGTCTTGCGTAAAAATTATGGATTACTTGGCTACAAGCTCATATACTTTTGCGGCGTGTATAATCTCTAATTTTTTGACAATATTGTATCATGACAATTACCTTAAATTAAGTTAAAATAACACTAGTGTACTTTTGCGGTGTTAAAACAAAACCCGGGAAAAACGGATTAGATCTGGCCAGATCTGCTAAGGCAGATCTGGCCAGATCTTTAAATTGTCTCTATCTGACGAGATCTGGCCAGATATAATCAGATCTGACCAGATCTGGTCAAATTTTAAAATTGCCCAGGTAAAAATGATTGTATATAATTATATATACTCATACATAATTATATACGAAAAATGGCCATATATAATTATATACAATTATATAGAATTATTTTCATAAAAAAAAAAAAAAAATCGGCGCGCACGGGATCCGAATCTGGGACCTGACGCTTGAGAGACTAATTCATTACCTGTTTACCAACGAGACTTGCTTGAAACGAGAGTAGATAGAGTTTGTAATTATTAATAGTTAACAAATGTAGTTATATCTGGCCAGATATAATAAAATATTTTTGTGTCTGACTTTTTTTTTAACCCAGATATAGTTATATCTGTTTAGATTTGATCAGATATGATTATATCTGATTATGTCTGATGTATTTTTCCACTCGGATATAGTTATATCTGTTTAGATCTGATCAGATATGACTAGATCTGATTGTCTGATGTATTTTTCCACTCAGATATAGTTATATCTGTTTATATCTGATCAGATATGACTAGATCTGATTGTCTGATGTATTTTTCCACTCAGATATAGTTATATCTGTTTATATCTGATCAGATATGACTAGATCTGATTGTCTGATGTATTTTTCCACTCAGATATAGTTATATCTGTTTATATCTGATCAGATATGACTAGATCTGATTGTCTGATGTATTTTTCCACTCAGATATAGTTATATCTGTTTATATCTGATCAGATATGACTAGATCTGATTGTCTGATGTATTTTTCCACTCAGATATAGTTATATCTGTTTATATCTGATCAGATATGACTAGATCTGATTGTCTGATGTATTTTTCCACTCAGATATAGTTATATCTGTTTATATCTGATCAGATATGACTAGATCTGATTGTCTGATGTATTTTTCCACTCAGATATAGTTATATCTGTTTATATCTGATCAGATATGACTAGATCTGATTGTCTGATGTATTTT